ATAACTAACTCAACAGACTGAAGGCATCCAGTTACTTCACTGTACCTCTTCACTGCCCTTCTAATTACTACAACTTCCTTTAATTGATTAGGAGCTGACTGGACTTGTTCCACATTCACAACCAAGGTTGGAAACTTATTTACAAGTTTCTCTCTGAGTGAAGGAGGGTACATGGCATCTGTAGACTCGAAGAGCCTTCTCCTTAAGACATCTCTGACATTAGTTTCTAGAGTAGCATCCATTTTATTGTTGTGGGTGTGGTTTTAAAAGGCGTGTTTTGATACTATTAATAGTAACAACATTAAGATATGCAGGCATAAGATTTTGCAGTTATTTTAATCAAATACGTGGGAGTTTCGCGCTCCAACCCTCGCTTTCATGGGCTCCTGTTAATTATTATTTTATTACTTTTAGTTCCTACTACTAGTATTCGATTCAGTGTCACCAATAGTGGGTTAATAGTATCATTTAAGGTAAATTCAAATCAAGTTCAGTATTTTAGTTAATGCATAATTCTTTTAGGATAATAATATTGGTCAACCTCCAGTTAATTATTGTAACATTATTTTGAATGGTGTTAACAAACCACCCTGTAAAATAAATGAAAACTACACATTTCCTATAAGTAATGGAGTTGATTATACTTACACTGTTACTGTTGGTAATGTTGTTGGATCAATATCTGAGAGTGGCAGTAAGTCACAAGGCTTTAATATAAAAATTCTTAGGATTATTTTAACTTACATGTAGCTTCTGTTCACTTAATTTTTTTTAATTTTCTAGAGCTAAAATTTAGCATCTTTTAATAGAGTAAATGAAACGGGTTAGAAATGGAAGTCTGGGTGTAGACAAACCTCAATTCATTTGTATTGTTGCTAAGCAATCAGAGGCGGGTTGGGATTTTTTGACAGATTGTGCTACAAGATTTTTTTCCTTTATTCTTGAATGACTCCAAAAGGATGCAATTTATGCAAACAAAACCCATACACAATAGTAATCATTTTTGTTAAGGAAATCAATGCATGTGCTAGTAGCCTTGATAGTCACTTTTTCACAAAAAATACAGGCTATCTTTTCCCTCTCTGAGGGACTCATTTTGTTCTTGAGTTGTGAATAAGTATAATCATTTGAAAGAGCTTAAAATTTCCTATGGAATAAGCTAACTTGCATGCAAGTTAATACTATGAAGCTTGAGTGTTTACGAACAATAAAGTGTTTCAAAAACAGCCAAATTTGAGTACCTATAACTAGTTAAAAGTAGCTTTTAATTACAGAGCCAAAAGCCTTACTGTAGGTAGCTCTAAGAAATGAACTATATATCATAAGTGAGTGCTATCCTGGAGCAATACAAAATTTATTTGAAATCCTTGCTGCACAGCTTCACCAATGGAGGAGATGGGATATAGCTACAAAGCCTACAATCATCTTATTGACAGTTCTCAAATTGTCATGTGGTAACCCTAACCCAACCCACATTTCCTGTTGCTATGCCCAGTTTCCAGTCCCTTTCGTTTACTCTATTATTTTTAGTTTTAAAAATTAATGTATAAGAAATAGTTGATATGTAAGGTTTAAGCAATCTTGGGAATAACTCAGGGGTCTAATTAAGTCCCCAGGTTATAATAAAAGTGCCGATATGCAATAAATTTCTTTTAATAGAGCTAGAAGATTTGATAGAAGTAGAACCAACTACAGTACTTATTTCTGTGATAGAAACAGTGACAGAAACAATAAGAGAAACAGTGACAGAAACAATAAGAGCATCAGTAACACATGGTTATCCTGGTAATAGTGTCTTACATTAATATTAATTTATTTTATGCAAATAAATAGTTACTGGTGATCCTGTTATATTTTCTATTCCATTCATTGTACTTGAAGTACTGATTGTATCATCAGTTTGTTGGATTGTGCTAATGATGTGTTGGAAAAGACAGTGTTGCTGTCCCAGGATATGGAGGAATAGTTTTTGGTCAATTTTTTTTTGCTATAATTGTTGTACTTATAATACTGAAGGTAACTAAACTCCTAATTATTTTTATATAATCTGTTTTTACAAAGAAAGAACAGAGTACTATAGGTCTAAAGAATCCAATTGTTGAACGGGAGAAGGGAAATGATACATTAATAATAAACAATATTTTGCTGATCAGTGTTGTGTAGTGCATTAATTATCAAGTTGTTAATCTGATGAATACCAATTTTTTAGTCTCATTTTTTGTTCGTGTCAAAAGGCTAAGTTTTCTGATGTCCTGTCTGTATAAGTATAGGTTATACACTGAGGTAGAGGTTTCTATGGTATTTATTAACCGAGCGATGCAGTCGCGAGGTTAATAAATGCCATAGAAACCAATACCGAGGTGTATAACCAACTTCTACCATGACATTTGAAAACAATTACCAGCTGCTGATAATAAGACCATGCATACATGTCCTGTCTGTGTAATTACATGTATTAATAATTAATATGTCCATAAGCAGTGTTAGTGTGTGTGTTAATACCTTGTTGTTGTTGTTTATTAATTATTGCTGCTACTCCTCCTTGTTGTTTTTCATTTCCTTTATTCTTCATTATACAGTATACAATGATACTAGTAATTATTGATGTAATGAGTCCAGTTAATAGACCAGTGGTAGATACTAGTATCATTAGTATCATTTGATATAAACTGTCCATCTGTTGTATTGTATACATTAACAATAGGAGCACATACGTGTATATCCTATTGTAATAGTACTAAATAATAAGTAATAGTTAATACATGGGGCAGCGTGTTCTATCTGATTTATCCGTATAAGCTTCCAGTCGAGTCGCTAAAAATAGTGCACGAGGCCAAAGGCTGAGTGCGAGGCCAAAGGCTGAGTGCGCTATTTTTAGCAACGAGACTGCTTATGTTCAGATGCATGGTATAGGTGTTCCCAGTACTGTGTACTGCTCATGCTCAGATGCATGGTATAGGTGTTCCCAGTACTGTGTACTGCTCATGCTCAGATGCATGGTATAGGTGTTCCCAGTACTGTGTACTGCTCATGATCAGATGCATGGTATAGGTGTTCCCAGTACTGTGTACTGCTCATACTCAGATGCATGGTATAGGTGTTCCCAGTACTGTGTACTGCTCATGATCAGATGCATGGTATAGGTGTTCCCAGCACTGTGTACTGCTCATGATCAGATGCATGGTATAGGTGTTCCCAGTACTGTGTACTGCTCATACTCAGATGCATGGTATAGGTGTTCCCAGTACTGTATACTGCTTATGCTCAGATGCATGGTATAGGTGTTCCCAGTACTGTATACTGCTCATGATCAGATGCATGGTATAGGTGTTCCCAGTACTGTGTACTGCTCATGATCAGATGCATGGTATAGGTGTTCCCAGTACTGTATACTGCTCATGCTCAGATGCATGGTATAGGTGTTCCCTGTACTGTGTACTGCTCATGATCAAATCACCTGAATAAAGGAATGGAGCTACCTCAAATCAGGATTGGTAGGACTCGGTGTGGTTATTGATGATGATCCATCCAATATTTTATCAACTTCAAGATCATCAATAGTTATATATTAGGATTGTTCCCAGTAAAATTGTATTGAGTAGATGAACCATTAATATTGCTGTCGTTAAGTAGAACTTTATAATACTTTATACATTGTTGGTTCTGTTAATTAGGGATACAAATAAAACCACAGGGAGTGTTACAAATGAAAGCTGTGTTACATCACATTTGTAACCACAGGTGGTGCCTTTGATACGCCCACTCACTAATATACAAGATAGAGTTAATCATTTTACAGTACATTATACTAAAGTATGTCCATTCTACACTACTGGAGACAGGGAGGATTGATGTCTTTGTGTTGGTTGCAAGGTTTTGGTTTTGATGGTATTGGAGGAGGAATGTCCAGACCACCTAACCTATCCATGATCAGCTCTTGAGTAGTGGACTTCCTCTGGAGGAGAGGGGGAGAGAGAGGGAGGAGTGAGAGATAAAGGGTGTGTTACTCTATAAAGTATAATGTGTATTGGCTTACATTTCCATTGACTGCTGCATGGACTACTCTTTCCTCAGTGGGTGGTTTATTCTTTGGTGTCCTCTTACCAGCTGCTATTGATAGATCAGGATACAATACTTTATGAGGAGCAGCTGGAGGAGGAATGGGAGGAGGAACAGACTAGAGGAGAGAGAGGGAGAGGATGTATAAGATACCATTACATGTCCATGTACATTATCATTACTTTGTTGTTAACTGATGCATATACCACTGGTTGTTCTTGTGTTGGTGCTCCCTGTGGTCTCTTCCCTTTAGCAGCAATAGCCAGATCAGCATACACTGGCTTATGAGCTGATTCATCAACTAACACCTATTGAATATAACAATATGAACCTTAATTACTAATCTACATACCTTATGTACTAATATACCTTATACTAATGAACATACCTTATGTACTAATATACTTTATACTAATGTACATACCTTATGTACTAATATACCTTATACTAATGTACATACCTTATGTACTAATATACCTTATACTAATGTACATACCTTATGTACTAATATACCTTATACTAATGTACATACCTATACTAATGCATTTACATGTACTTGTGGTATGTGTGTATTAGTTACTATAAGGTGGTATATCAGATTACATAAGGATAAGTTCACCTTATTACATTAAAAGCTAAAAGGATGTACTCAATTCACCCATTACCCCTCTTCCCTTCCTTTATATGATACAATATGTACATGTATCCATACCTGGTTGTTAGTGTCCTTGTTAATGGTTGAATATAGTCCAGTAGCACCAGTAGACAGACCCTGTTGACCCTTATTCTATTAATGATACATTATATGATCTATTTTTAAAAGACTCCCTCATTAATCACTCACCTCTCCCTCTCTCTTCAATACAGAGTATTCCTGTACTCCCTCAGGATTATAGGCAGGAGGGACAGGAGGAGGAGTATCATCATCTTGATTGAGTGTTGAATAAAGTGAACCAGCTCCTTGTTGTTGTTGTTGTTGTTTATTTTTCTATTATACATTATTGTCTGGTATTTTGTTTATTGTTTATCTACCTACCTCTCCCTCTCTCTTCAGTTCATAGTATTCTTGTACTCCATTAGGATTATAGGCTGGTACTGGTGGGGGAGTATCATCATCATCATCACTAGCTCTAAGAACACTGTACTCACCTAGTGAATATTGTATATTAATAATAATAATAATGTATATACAAATGTACCTAAGCACATTGCCTATCATGTCCTCTTGTCTATCATGTGCTAGTTCATTGTATCTTACAGTCAAACATATGATTACCCTATGTAGGCTGTTGTCAGCTTATTGTGTGTTACATGTATACACATATGGTTCATGTCATGACAGGTAGAGGAAGGTTAATGTTATTCTTGCTAATGTACACTAAATGATGACTGGATATAAGTATGTGCTGGGTATTATGGTGTATGTGGATTGATTTATTTATTGTATTAAAGTGATGTGTGTACTAAAGTCATTGTGTAGTGTATGCAACACTTTACTTAAGTAACCTGTAATACAATAGAAATAAACTGTTGATGTATTTGATACACTAGAACTATGAGCTGCTATTTTAACATGTAAGTACTTTTCATTGTACATGCTTTTTGTTTAATTTTTGGCTCTGAAATCATTCCTACATTTTACAACATTTCCTGATGCATGTCTTTATGCTATGTAGAAAGTTTGAGCTATTTTAAATAAAACTTTTTGAGTTTTGGACCAAAATGTACATAAAAATTCTTACTAGTAGGAGGTGGTGGTGGATATGAAATTGGTCCATCTCCTCCTTGTAGTGTCCTTACAGTAGAAGCAGCTGCTGGAGTATATTCAGTGGTAAGAGTAGCATAAGTAGGATCAGTAGGTTGTAACTAATGAATGAAACACAACAGCATATAATGAATGGGATCAGTGTACAGTAGTTATATAATAAATGATGGGATCAGTCTATGGTAGTAATATAAGGATGAGTTCTATCCTTCAGTCATTAATAAACAAGGGTCATTATTATTAATTTACTTCAATATTATTGTTTCTGTATGAACTACCATTAGTTACTCCTTTAGTCTATGGAGGATATCAAAAAATGTTTATAATGATCATGTGTACTCGTACTTTACCTCATTTCCATTACCATTTGCTGTATGACTATATATAAAATGAAATAAAAGGAATTAATAATTAATAAATTCACTTAACCTTTCTTTGTTCATTATTTCTATTTAAGAGAGAATTAACTAATTAAATTAATAATATTATTAATATACTTACTGTGTCTTTTAGCACACACCAGTATTATTATTATTATAATGATAATCATTATTATAACAAAAACTACTCCAATAGCTCCTGATATAATGGGAAGAGCATTAGCACCAGCAGTGGGTATAATGGTTGATGCTATGCCACCCATCAATGTAGATGTAATGTTTATAGCTATAATAGACAATTACACAGTGATTCTATTTATACATACTAGTAAAAGACACTGTATGTGATGTATATGCACTGACTAATGGAGAATAAGATAATATTACTAACAATGGACAATATAATTAGTAATACTAACCTGATGATGGACCAGGAGAACTTGCTAAAGAAGAACAGTCTAATGATTTATTTTGTACTATATAAAATATATAAAAATAATGATACTATACATGCACATCAACTGTACCATTAACAGTAGCTGATGGTCCATATCCAATAACATTAACAGGAATGATAGTAACAGTGTAGTTTGTATCAGTAAGAGGTAGTCCAGCAATGGTAATATTAGTATTAGATGTTTGTTGTTCATCTGTTGTATTGGTGACATTAACAATGTAATAGTTAGTAGGAGGATGTGGCATAGTAGAATTCTATAAAACACAAATAATATTGAGTAATGATTAATTAGCATACTTGAGTGTTATTCCACCATATTGTAATAGTATCAGTTGATATCTGATCCCAACTAATATTAACAACTTGAGCTGGTACTATAAGAAATACAATGAGTGTGTGTGTGTGTATAGTACTTACCATTCCATATATACTGTATTAATGATGAAGGAGGTCTTCTCTTCCAATAGTATCAAAACCTCTTCCAATTTCATTGTGGAATTTCCAATTCCATTTTAGTTGCTGCAAAATTGGTTATTTTTCACTTATTTTTGCAGAAAATATTTTTTTCTGCAAAATGCCTCATTTTAAGTAAATTTTTGCCATATCATGAAGTCAATATTTTCAAGACATAATGAACAAAGTGTCA